GGGGAGGGGGGTCTGCCTTTGGTTCTTTTCCCCTTTTGTATTGAGTTCTCTACCTTCTTCCAGTGGTTCCCCCTGCTAGGTTCCCGTGAATGTACACGTCCCAGGGGTTCAGTTCTTAGAAAATTGTTTGGTAGACATGGGCGCCGGTTAGCAGTACCCTGCCTGGGATTACCTGAGCGCGATTCCTTTTATAGTAAATGCTCAGGACCCTGGGAAACCCCTAGGGGGAGCGTGGGCTCGATGGATGTGGCCCTGGAGTTCCCCCCCCCCTCGCTTTGTGCGAGTTCGAGGGTTGCTTTGTCCCCTTGTCTCAGGGTGTGACTCCTGGTTTTGCCTCCGTCTGCTGCCTTTGGGGTCGGTGACACCTTCGGCCCTGAGTCCTGCAAGTTTTGTTGGTTGTTTCTTACTCAGTTACCCAGTCTTATGCTGACTATGTGGGTGCAGGCAGGACGGGCGTTGCATTTTGGGCTTCGGTGGCAACGCGCTAGGTTGTTTGCTCCCTGGAAGCCCCGAGGCTGCCCCGTTTTGGTTGGTGGTCTTGTCGGGGTCCCCTTCCCCCCTTCCTCCCTGCATCTGGGTTCTTCCGGTCTGTGGGTTCGGGATCTGGGCAGGATTTCCATGATCTCGAGACTCGGTTGGTCTTGGGGAATTCCCCTTCTGGGGTAGTGACGGGGGCATTCGAGCTTGTTCATCCAGCCGTGTTGTAAGAGTCTGCCAGTGGACTCCCTTCCTTTGTGCTTTTCACGACTACCCCGTTTTTTTCTTGAGGCTGGGGCTTTGGGGGGGACAGCTCGGCCCCGGGGCCTACTGTGTGGGTTCCCAGGGCTTGGGAGGGACTGACTTGGGGAGCCTTAGGCCCCGTTGGACCCCACCAGGGTTTTTTCTACCCTCTGGGCGGGGCTTGTGGTTGGCGGATTGTGGTTTTCCTTTCCCACTCTCCACATGAGTTGTTGGGCGTCGCCCCCTCCCCGGGCTCGGTTCCTTGTCTCTTAAGCCTGTTGGTTCCGTCCTGTCGGTGAGTGCCCTTCTCCGTTATTTCCCCCTTTTTCTTGGGACGGGACTTCTCCGTCATGTTCCCCTCTTTTTTTGGTTCTGCATGACTTTTGGTCTCGGGTGCGACTAGGCCTTTCTATGCCTTCGTCATTTGTACTTGCTTCTGTGTTCTCGAAGGTTCAGGATGGGTTTTGCTCCTTCCTGTATTATTGGAACGTCTGTTGTCTTTCGGTGAGGCTACCCTCCAGTCCTTTCTAGGGCTTGTTGGTCCTCTTCCATGTTTCCTCTTGGTTTTCGGCTCTGTCTTGTTCTTTTGTTCATGTATCTTCTCTCTGTGCTGTCTCGACACTGCTCATTTTCCTTCCATACTCCTGGTCCGGGATGCCAGGTTGGGCTGCTTGTGGCCCGGTTGGGCTACTTGTCGCCCAGTTAGGCTCCTGGTATCCAGTACCAGGAGCCAGTTCGGTTCATTGTTTTCATTAACTGAGCCGGCTATGGGTGTCATTGCTTACTCCTTTTTGGCTTCTGTTCCCGTGAGTTGGGCTGTTTCTTCTCTTAAGCGAATCACTCGGGATACAAACTGTTGGGCTACTTTAGTGTCCTGCGCATGCGCCGTGGGAGGTTTTGGGTCGGGCGGTGTGCACAAATGCTGGTGTTCGTCCGTTTTCTCTCGAGTGCTTTGCCTCTCGCTCTTCTCATTCTCCAGTCCATGCCCCGTTGTTCCTGGGGGGTGTTCTGGAGTGCCGCTATGGGGAAAACGCCAGGTTTTCCTTGTATTTTGGGTGGGGGGCGCCTCCTTCACCTCTCCTATCCTCTTCTGCTTGAGCAGCTCTGGCCTGCTTCCGCGGGTGGTGCTCCCATTTTTCTGGGTTGCAGGTGCACGATATCCTCGCCGCCTCCGGCAGCACCAACCTGGTAATATTGTCGTGACCCTTCCGTGCCTATATTCTGCAGGTGAGTTTATGCGGTCTGGCGTCTTCTTCGTTCAGGCGCTGGCTCGTTTTGGGGGTGTGAATGGGAGTACATACGTACATGAGAACATGGAACATACAAACAAGGGTGCCTGCAGTGGGCCTATTGGCCCATACATGGCGGCTCTTGTTCCTTGCCTCCCGATTCGAACGTCAGAACGCAGGTGACTGCAGGGAGGCCTCTTGGCCCATACGAGGCGGCTCCTGACTATGCCCTTCCAGTCCCTCTCCTCTGCATGTCTACCCATGCATAAGTTTCGGGGCCCTGCCTCCGTGTTCCAGGGTATAAAGGTGGAGGTGCCTCTTATGTGGTACATGTTCCTGTGTCCAGGGGTGTTGTGTGGTGACGTTTTGCTGCGGTTTTGGTACTGCGGTTGCGTGTTGGGGTATGGTTGTGGTGTTTTGTTCGGCCATTCCATGCTTCTTCCCGGGGCCTTCCTTGTTTGGGTTCTTTGTTCCCATGATTTTCTGGGTTCCCCATTCCTTGCCGGTCTTGCTGTACCAGGCTTCGCTTTTCCATGTACATTGGATTCTCTGTACTCCCCTAGTTGTGCTTGCAGGGGATGGGCTTTGGTTCTTAGTCCCGCCTCTCACCTGTCATTTGACTTCTGTATAGGTTCTTGTGCTTTCTAGGCTATCCTCTCTGCACTTAATGCTGGGTGTGGGGTTGGCCTCTGCCACTTCCCTTCCTCATGCGTTCCTATTGTCTGCGGACACTGGTGTGCTTCTTCTCTTTTCTACGGCTCATTTTGGCATTCGGTTCAACATGTTTCCCTCGTTATGTGTGCCCCCATGTGTTCCATGGCTTGTATTTCTCTACCCTGTCATTTCCTCTGAGGATTTTGCTTGTGGTGGTCATGTCCCAGAGTTCTGTCTCCCGAGAACATATTGGGACATGTCCAGCGGCTTTTGGTGTTGGTCCGGTCGTTCCTGTTCGCTACCTACCTTCTTCGTTCCTCAGCTTCCTTTCATCCTACACGTTGTGTGTTTTGTTTGTGCCTTTCGGCTCTCCTCTTGCCAGGTTTCGATTCTGGTTCCTGGTTTTCCCGGCCTGTTGGCGTTTTCGGAGTCTCGCGGTGTCCCTTCTCTGGAGTCTGTCGGGGACTTGGTTTACAACCACTTGGCGGCTCGCTGGCGTTGGGATGTTTTTTGGTACGGCAGACGTTCCATCTCCTTCTTTGCCGGCTCGGGTTTCCGGCTCTCCCTGCTACATGGTCACACCCGGGGTCTTCCCACAGCTCCGCCTCTTCCTCGGCTCGTTTGGCTCTGCCTTGAGTCTTGCCTTCTGTTGGTGGTCAGGTGGCTTCGTTGTTTGTGTCCCACCTACGTGCTTTTTCTTGGCGGAGGTGTGTTTTTTTTTGGCGGTCCTTCCTTTTCCTTCTGTCCCTTTATAGGTGGCTGTGTTTTGTTGGCATTGCCTTGTTCCTCTCTGGTAGGGGGTTTGGGGCCGTCATTTTGCCGCATACTGTCGCCTCGTATTGTGCGGAGCTGGCAGAGCCGCTTTTGCTTGCATTCGGTATTGCTATTACTTCTAAGCCGTTCCGCAAGCTGTCTCGTGCGTTGTTTCACCTCTGGCCTGCTCATGCGTCGCTTGTGTCGTCCTGGTCTTTGGGCAGAGTGCTCTTTTCTTTCTTCTCCTTGGTTTATGGTGGCCCCTCCTGTTCTGGTTTTCTGCTCCTTCGGTCGGGGCGGTAGGTTTGTTCGTCTCCAGCCGTCTCCTTCTTGTCTGGCAAAAATTGAGACTGCTGTTTTCTGGAGGGGTCCTTGAGGTTTTTGATGGATGGTTGATTAGGCCGGGGGTGCATTGTGTTTTGTGGCCCGTGAAGGTTCTCCGCCGTTTTTTGCGCGCCTTGGCTTCTGTGTCCGTGGACACTTTTTGGGTTGCTCTGGTTTCCCTTCTTCCTGGTCTGCAGGTGCGGGTTTCCCAGGTCGTCCGCAGGATTCTTATGGCTGGCCCTGTGGTTGCAGCCAGTTGTCTTGGTTTTGAGTTGTGGAGCGTGCAGCGACCGCCTTCCGGATTTGTCCCTCTACTTTCCTCTGTGGGTTGTTAGCTCCGGGGAGCCAACAGGGCTCACCCCAGAAAACCAGCGTTGAATGTAATAAAACACCATTTTCTGGGTGTGACCCAGAGGCTCCCCGGCATCCCTCCCTCCCTCTCTGGTTAGCGGTTTCGCATTTTTTTGACATCCAGCCTCAGAACTGGGGTGTGGATTGCCGGCATGGGGATCTGGGGCTCCCCCTTCCCCCTCCCGGGGAGGGGGGGGAGCTGCGCAGACAGTGGCCCAGTAATGTGTGACGTCATGCTAGTTTGCTCGTATTTTTTGGGGGAGTTCTATCCACTAGTTCGGCGTTAGGTAGCAATTTTAACCAGAATAGGGGTTTATTTTGGGACGCTTACCTTTCTGGGTGCCCGATCCAGTCGATGGCAGACATAGAATGCTTCCAACCACACAGGGGTTTCTATAGGCCATTGCTCCCCATTCCTCTCTGTGGGGGGCCAGGTTCTGGCTCATGGTCTCCGGTAGGCTCACAGAACTCCATACACATGACTAATGTCAAAGTCTGACATTAGCATATCAGCCTGGTATAACTCCAGGGAGCCTCCGAGTCACACCCAGAAAATGGCGTTTCAGTACATTCAACGCTGGTTTTTTGTTTTTCTGACATTTTGCATACAAATTTATTATTATATATTGACAAATTATTTTTTAGAATTCTTTTATTTTTTGTGCATAGGCAGATATGACCTCTATATAGCTGCTGTCAAAGGGTTAATTTTATGTCTTGAAAACATTAAACTATGTCGTGTACAGTATTAATTTTTGTGGCGGACAGCCTCACTCCTATTTGCTTTGATAATCAATATTGTTTTCTCTAAAATTCAAGTACTATATATGCATTACTTTGACAACTATTTTCAATTAAAAAGTGTGTGTATGTAGGTACTGTATAGGTATATGAATATGTATATTTTCAAAGTATTATTGTGCTTATATTACACCATCTTGTTGTATGCCATATTTTCTAACATTTTAGAACAGTTGTCACACCTGCTCCAGAAACCCCACAGCACATCCCAGATGAGTCCAGAATAGATGATCTAAATGAGGATAATATGTATGCAGTGTTTGTGACTTACATAGAGATTTACCAGAACTTTATTTATGATCTTCTGGAAGAAAGTCCCAACACAGGGCCCTCTAGCAGGTAAAATTGTTTTGGTTATGGTACTAGCAAATGAAAGTTTAATTTGGTTTGTATAATGGAGATAATGAGTTTGGATATACCCTGCCTTTTGTATGGTTATGTTAATGATTATCTTATATTTCAACAAGATTTTGGTTACATGTCAGAATAGAGAAAAGTGGCATGTGTTTTTCCACCACAAATCAGTCATTTTACCTGAATTTACCTGAGGCCACTATCAATAGTGGCCTTAACGCTTGACGAGGATAGGAAGCCAGCGGCTTGTCGAAGGCCCCCCCAGCCTCATTTACCTTGATGATCTTTTCCAGTTGGATTTTAAAATTGTACCACTACTGATCCTGATTTAAGAGTATATGAAATATGTGCCTGAGAAAGTTGACTACTGTGCTGCATGTCATTGTTTGCAGATGATACTAATATGCCTTCATTTATGAGGAGGCTACAAAAGCATTGGCATGGCAAGGGTGCCCTGTGGCTGGCCCACGTTGCCCCAGTCAGCAGGACTGTATTCTCGTATTCTTGTATCCTCCCATGCATTCTGTGGGCTGTTTCAGATATTATGCAGATGAAGAGTCACAATAACGTGGCTGAAATATGTTGACCAACTACACACTAGAAAATAAAGAGACGACAATGTTTCGGTCTGTCCTGGATTATCAAGTCGATTGTATTATTGACTTGATAATTACTGGACCATTGTTGGTCCAGTAATTGTGTCCATCCGACACAATTGACTTCATAATGGTCCAGTACGGACCAAAATGTCGTCGTCTCTTTATTTTCTAGTGTGGTTTGGTCAACAAAGGATGTATTAGATAATCAACTGCTCTGGGCAAGTAGAAACACTCTCACAGATCATACATGTTCACAGGTTGAGGCTTGGGAGAAAATGGCAATGATGGTAAAATCCTCCTAGAATTTTCTGAGTGAACCTCTGGGGACTCACTCAGAAAATGGCGTTTCATTACATTCAACGCTGTTTTTTTTCCAAGGCTATTTCTGTTGGCATTCGCCTCTGAGGGTCGGGTGGGTGAGCTTCATGCTCTCCTCCGACACGGGTTTCTGGTCTTTGGTAATGGTATTCGGTTTGTTCGGTTGCAGCCATCTCCTTTTTTTCTGGCGAACGAGTAGGCGGCTTTCCGGGGAGGCCCTTGGGTCATTGATTGATTGGTCAGGCCGGGGATACATAGTGTTGTGTCTGGTTGCGGTTCTTTGTCGTTGTTTGTGCGTTTCGTCTTCAGTGGCCGAGGCTGCGCTTTGGGTTGATCCGGTTTCCCTTGTTCCCTGTTCCAGGGCTTGGCGTCTCCCAGGTCGTCCACAGTGTTATGAAGTCTAGCCAGCCTGAGGTCTTCCCTCGTGCCTATGATGTTCGGAAGTTTGCTACTTTGGCTTCCTTGTTCAGCAACATGTCTTGGATTGACATTCAGGCACGGGGGTTTTGGGGATCAAACAGGGTCCTGGCTGCCCATTATCTGGTCATTATAACTGGTCCCGGTCATTCGTGTGTGCTTTGGGTCGCAGGTTGCAGCCAGTTGTCTTGCCTACTAGTTGATGTGCACATGGCGGCCGCCTTCCAGGTAAGTCCCTCTTTTACTTGTCTTTGGTTAGGTAGCTCCAGGGAGCTGACAGGGCTCCCCTCAGAAAACCAGCATTGAATGTAATAAAATGCCATTTTCTGGGTGAGCCTTGGAGGCTCCCTGGCACCCTCCCTCCCTCCAGTCAGAGGTTTTTGGTTTTGATGCTTAGCCTCCAAACTGAGGGGTGAATAGCTGGCGTGGGGGGATCCAAGGCTTCCCCCTCCCAGGAATGGGAGGGGAGGGCTGCACGGACAAGCCGCATGGCGGCGGTGTATAATGTTTGCTTGTTTAGGGTTGGGGGAATTCTGCCTCTATGTTCGGTCTTCGGTTGCATTTTCTTACCAAGTGGGGTCTATTTTGTTATGCGTACCTCTCTGGGTGCTTAACCCCGGTAGATGACAGACATGGAATGCTCCCAAACTCTTGGGGGTTTCCATAGGCCATTTCTCCATGCCTTTCTGAGGGGGCCAGGTTCTGGCTCATGGTACCTGGTAGGCTGAATTCCATTGACTGATGCCCCAGTCTAATATAGTGTATATCAATCCGATAGCTCCAGGGGCCTGTGGGGCTCACCCAGACAATGGCGTTTCATTACATTCAACGCTGGGTTAATGTCAGCACTGTGGAGAAATGCCCGATAGACCACTGGAACATTATGTAACACAGTACACAGTTACAAACCCATTAAGATTTCAACTTAGATTCAACAGAGGAGAAGAAGTTATTAAACACACATGGCAAAATCTTATTGAAGCGACCATATGAGTCATAAATACTCATACTCCGCCCAAGTAAAACAGAAACAAGCAACACTTAGTGGGTTAACCAGAGGCTTAGGGCCCGCACAAGAATATCCCTGCAAAAAAAAAAAAAATTCTTCACATAATCATTTTCAAAACAAATGCGAGAGCTCGTTGCATGATGTGCAGAGGCAACAAACAGCGGCTCTGTGCTGTGGCCATCTGCCTCATTTTGGGATCATCATCATTAGCATTGAATTTACTGATATCTGAAACTTGTACATATTCTTTATCATGGTCAGGGTCTTCTTTGTCACTATCATCAAAATAATTGCAAATACTTGTTTGATCATAATCAAGTAATAGTGTGGGCATGAGCTTCCGCTTCATGCACAACACAAGCTTGCTTTGTTAGTACCAAGGCCCTCACACCGGAAGGAATGCTCACAATTTTTGTTCCAAGATGACTTTGTTTACTGCATAAAAGAGGAAGTGGATGTGAGCCCAGTGTACCCAAGGTAGTTTTAAATTACGCAGAAGACCCATAAGCATCCCTGGTTACAAATACACAAGGGCCGTGACGAGGATTCGAACCTGCGTCCGGGAGCATCCCAGACACTGCCTTAATCGACTGAGCTACGACAGGGTAAAAGGGTTGAAACCGAAGTTCTACTGAACTTACTGGATCCAGTAGCCTCTCCGAGGCACAAACCGGGATTTTACACAAACCCCCCCCCCCCCCCCCCCCCCCCTGCACCCGAGCTACGTCAATAGGCCGTTCTCCCTCTTCGCCCTTACATCATCATCACACAGAGATCACACTAACGTGATGCATCAAATGAACAAATCCACAAGGGCCGTGACGAGGATTCAAACCTGCGTCCGGGAGCATCCCAGACACTGCCTTAATCGACTGAGCTACGACAGTCGATTAAGTGGGTTAACCAGAAGCCCGGTTTGTGCCTCGGAGAGGCTACGGGATCCAGTAAGTTCAGTAGAACTTCGGTTTCAACCCTTTTACCCTGTCGTAGCTCAGTCGATTAACGCAGTATCTGGGATGCTCCCGAACGCAGGTTCGAATCCTCGTCACGGCCCTTGTGGATTTGTTCATTTGATGCATCACGTTAGTGTGATCTCTGTGTGTGTAATCCCTGGTTACTGTGTGCACCTCCAGTGAAGCAATCCTGATCACTATGTACAGTTGAAGAATTACAAACTAAATAAGATTTCAACTAAGATGCAATAGAGCAGTTGTTGTTAAATGCATGGGGCATCATCTTTCTGAAGGGAACATACAAGTCATAAATACTTTTACTCCGCCTAAGTAAAACAGAAACAAGAAACGAGTAATACTTAGTGGGCCAGCCAGAGGCTTAGGGCCCCCTCGCTGGAATATCCCGGGAAAAAAAAAGTTGAAGGGTTAATATTGCTCAACTATTGCAATCAAGGGTTAATATTGTTTGTTTTTTCACTGGGTGTAACTAGAAAAAGTGTGTTAGTGTCATGGGAAAACCATTGTAAATACATGTAGTGATTTTTAAGGAAAACTAATAAAATATAAATGCTTGTGCTAAGAGTAATTTTAAATGAGAATATTGAAGTTTCTCAAGTGATGCTTTGACCCCAACATTAGAGTTGACATCATAATGCTTGAAATGCATTAGTACTGTACTGTACATCCAAAACTCATGTCTTAATAATTGGGTGTGCCATATACAATTGCAGATACAGAACTATCTATTTAGTAGATAAGTGAATAATGTTTTTGTTTGTAAACAGGTTTAAGGTTCTCAGATTTTCAATAAATATATTCATATAAGTAGTTACTTTGTAGGGGTTTCCAGGCCAAGGTTCTGCGTGAAGATGCCAGCCGTAACATGTATATCCACGGGTGCACAGAAGTGGAAGTTACAACACCAGACGAAGCTTTAGAGGTCTGTAGGGATTAGCAGAATTTTTATACTGTTTGCTAAATGTTTTGTTTAATTACATAACAATTATTTAAGAATTATCATAGAGAATATTAACTGTATACAAAAATTATTTTTATCATTCATATTAATATAACCTACATTTTCTTTATAATAATCTCCATTTCACGTTTTGTGAATTAAAGTTCACAAATATTTAAAAGTGTATTGCATACAGTGAGAATTTTCGTTTGATTTGCAGGTACTGGTAAAGGGCCAGAGGCGGAGGAAAGTGGCCATGACACATCTGAACATAGAGTCTTCACGCTCACACTCTATATTTTCCATAAGGGTGGTGCAAGTACGTTGCTTTTAATTGTAAATATAACTTTTTTCATTTGGTTTATTTCCTAGGTCCCATTCAGGCTGGAGATGTGTGAAGTGTACTCTTATTTTCAAAGTGTACACACACACCTTCACATATATATAGAATAGACATTTGAAATTGAACAAAAAAATGAGAAAAATCGTTGCACTTTTAAATTAATAGGAACAGAGTACTGTAGTGATATTAGACGAGAACAGGTCAGAGAGCCCTGAGCAAATTAAAAAAGAAATAGTGGATATAAGAGAAAAGAGAAGAGAGGGAACTAGACATGAATTTGTGAGTAGGGAGAATGAGATTTGAAATGAAGGAAAAACTGGATAAATTACAAGACAAAAAACAAAAATGGAAAAAGTGGCATGAGTAACAGATTTTTTATATTTTATTTTTATATTTATATATTTATTTTTTGAATGGAGGTATCCACTCAATTTAACGGCCTCTTTTATACCGATCTGCCGGTAATAACGACCGGTTTGGTAGACTGGTATCTGGAACCTCGTATACCAGTCTGGCGGTCGATATTACCAACGGTCGGTATTGGGTTTGTTTTGGCATCGGCGTCCCCTCACATGGGCTATCAGGCCACCGACCTCGATCGTCCAGAGTCGTATATTACAACTTTCTTTTAAAATGGTTCAGTTTAACGAAGAAAATTCAAAATTATTATTAATAAAATATTTTGAAACAATTGTTATTAAACAAAAGTCTTTGTTTTCTTATTAAATACCTTTTATAGTATAGGCACTTGGTATTTTTTCCCACGGACCTAGAATGTACTGCGCTGGGCCATGTGTCCCCATTGTTTACTGTGAACTCGCACGGCTGGCTTCAATTTTGAAGGATATTACTGTTAATTGTGATCTTCATTTCTATTTACAAATTGCCAAAAGTTACCCAAAGGAAGCGCCTGATGGTTACACAAAAGCTGGAGTTAATTAAGAAACTCGATAAAAGATATTCTCATGCACGAGCAGCAACAGAGTTTAACATCGGCAAAAGTACAGTAAGTGACATCAAGAAACAGAAGGATACTCTATTAAAATATGCAAGCACAACAGTGTAATTACCTAAGTGTAATTACCTAAGTGTAGTTACAGGATGAGAGCTACGCTCGTGGTGTCCCGTCTTCCCAGCACTCTGTCATATAACGCTTTGAAACTACTGACGGTCTTGGCCTCCACCACCTTCTCACTTAACTTGTTCCAACCGTCTACCACTCTATTTGCGAAGGTGAATTTTCTTATATTTCTTCAGCATCTGTGTTTAGCTAGTTTAAATCTATGGCCTCTTGTTCTTGAAGTTCCAGGTCTCAGGAAGTCTTCCCTGTCGATTTTATCAATTCCTGTTACTATTTTGTACGTAGTGATCATATCACCTCTTTTTCTTCTGTCTTCTAGTTTTGGCATATTTAATGCTTCTAACCTCTCCTTGTAGCTCTTGCCCTTCAGTTCTGGGAGCCACTTAGTAGCATGTCTTTGCACCTTTTCCAGTTTGTTGATGTGCTTCTTAAGATATGGGCACCACACAACAGCTGCATATTCTAGCTTTGGCCTAACAAAAGTCATGAACAATTTCTTTAGTATATCGCCATCCATGTATTTAAATGCAATTCTGAAGTTAGAAAGCATTGCATAGGCTCCTTGCACAATATTCTTAATGTGGTCCTCAGGTGATAGTTTTCTATCTAGAACCACTCCTAGATCTCTTTCTTTATCAGAATTCTTTAAAGATTTCTCACATAATATATAGGTTGTGTGGGGTCTATGTTCTCCTATTCCACATTCCATAACATGACATTTATTAACATTAAATTCCATTTGCCAAGTGGTGCTCCATATACTTATTTTGTCCAGGTCTTCTTGAAGGGCATGACAATCATCTAAATTTCTTATCCTTCCTATTATCTTAGCATCATCAGCAAACATGTTCATATAATTCTGTATACCAACTGGTAGATCATTTATGTACACAATAAACATCACTGGTGCAAGAACTGAACCCTGTGGTACTCCACTTGTGACATTTCTCCATTCCGATACATTGCCTCTGATTACTGCCCTCATTTTTCTATCAGTCAGAAAATTTTTCATCCATGATAGAAGCTTACCTGTCACCCCTCCAATATTTTCCAGTTTCCAGAACAACCTCTTATGTGGAACTCTGTCGAAAGCCTTTTTTAGGTCCAGATAGATGCAGTCAACCCAGCCATCTCTTTCCTGTAAAATCTCTGTGGCCCGATCATAGAAACTGAGTAAATTCGATACACAGGATCTTCCTGATCGAAAACCATACTGTCTGTCTGATATTATATCATTTCTCTCCAGGTGTTCTACCCATTTAGTTTTGATTAGCTTTTCCAATACTTTCACTATTACACTTGTCAATGATACAGGTCTATAATTGAGGGGGTCTTCCCTGCTGCCACTTTTGTAGATTGGAACTATGTTAGCCTGTTTCCACACGTCTGCTACGATTCCTGTACACAGGGATGCCTGAAAAATCAGGTGAAGTGGAATGCTGAGCTCAGATGCACATTCTCTCAGAACCCATGGTGAAACGCCATCTGGGCCAGCTGCTTTGTTCCTCCCGAGCTCCTTTAGCATATTTTCCACTTCATCTCTAGACACCTCTATCCGCTCTATGTTGTTCTCTGGAATTCTTATTGTGTCTGGTTCTCTGAAGATTTCATTTTGTACAAACACACTTTGGAACTTTTCATTTAATGTTTCACACATTTCCTTTTCATTTTCCGTGAATCTGTTTCCCATTTCCAACCTCTGGATATTATCCTTTACCTGCAATTTGTTGTTTATGAATTTGTAGAATAGGCCCGGTTCTGTTTTACATTTATCTGCTATCCCTTTTTCAAAATTTCTTTCTGCCTCTCTCCTTACTGCTGTATAATTGTTTCTCGCATCTTTGTATCGCTGGTATGTTTGGGGGTTTGGCCTCTTCCTATACTGATTCCATTTTTGTGTCTTTTGGTCTCTTGCCCTCTCACAATTTCTGTCGAACCAATCCTGTTTTCTGGTCCTGCATCTCTGTTTTGGTATAAATTTTTTTGTGCCTTTATCATATATTTCACAAAACTTGCCATACATCTCATTCACTTCCTTGCCTAGCATCAAGTCTGTCCAATTATACTCACTAAAAAAATTTCTAAGGTCACCATAATGTCCTCTCCTGAAGTCTGGTTTTTCAACTGCTTCAACCTCCTTATTTTCTTCAAGCTTATAACGCATTGCATACTTTATTCCCAAAAAGACATGGTCACTTTTACCCAAGGGAGGAAGGTACTGAATGTCAAATATCTCTTCCTCCTTCCTGGTAAATATCAAATCTAGCATGGAGGGAACGTCCCCTTCCCTCATCCTCGTAGCTTGTTTAACATGTTGATACAAGAATGTTTCCAGGATGAGGTCTACAAATTTACAGGTCCAAAAATCTTCTGTTTTAGCTTCATATGCTTCCCAGTCTATGGATTTCAAGTTGAAGTCACCGACTATCAACAGTCGTGATCTATCGTTATCCGCTCTCGCTATAATCTCTCTCATTATTGTTATAAGACCTTCACGTTTACTATCTAGCTCCTCCTTTGACCATGTGCTGCTTGGCGGTGGACTATATGCATTTATCATCATTAGTTTATCATCCTCATAGCAGATCTCTAGTGCTATTATGTCAACTTCTTGTGGATTGGCAGTCATTATTTCCTTCACCTTTAGGTGTTCTTTTACCAGCACAGCAACGCCACCGCCTTTCCTAATTTTTCTGTCCCGTCTCCAAATTGAGTAGCCCCTTGGGAATATGACCTCATTTAAAATTACATCTTCAAGTTTTGTCTCCGTGAGTGCAACAATGTCTGGTGTCTGCAGCTGTATTACATCACTTAACTCCAGTATCTTCGATCTCACTCCATCTATGTTGGTGTATGCAATCTTCAGGAACTTGTGTGTGCTGCTTCTGGTGCTGCATGTTCAAGAAAAACAGTAAGGGCTGGTCAGTATCCACAATTGGATGCTGCAGTGTATAAGTGGTTTATTCAGCACCGCACAGTTGGCATGGCAATACAATTTGAAGAGCTTAAAATTACAGCAAGTAAACTTGCTATTCAGTTAGGTATAAAAGATTTCAATGCAAGTGATGGGTGGGTTGGAAGATTTAAGGCTCGGCATAACATTTGAAACCCCCAAAAAATTTCTGGTGAGGCGTCAAGTGCTGATCCCACTAATGTTGATTCATTCAAGGCTAAATTAAACGAGTATATTGTCAGTAATAATTTAGGCAAATATCAAGTATATAATGGTGACGAGACAGGGTTCATGTGACGAGCTGTACCAAGTACATCCTTAACTAGTAGGATGCAAGATACTCTTGGACAAAAGATAAGCAAGGAACGACTCTCAGTCTTGCTCTGTGCTAATGCTGATGCCTCTCACAGGACAAAATGTGCCATGGTAGGCAAGTCTAAAAATCCTTGAGCCTTAAAAAATATAATGCAGGCACTACCCGTAATATATTACAGTTCAAAGAAATCATGGTTTAATGAAACAATATTTACGGACTGGTTTAAAAACCACTTTTGCAAAGAAGTTAGAGAATTCCAGATCAACAAATGTGGAATAAAGGCCAGTGAGGTTAAGGCATTGTTGCTGCTAGATAATGCTCCTGCTCATCCCATTAGCAAGTTAATTTCAAGGGATGGCAGAATAAAATGCATGGCACTTCCACCAAACACAACATCCTTGATCCAGCCCATGGACCAAGGTGTTATCCTTGCTGCTAAACGTATGTACCAAACAGCAATGCTTGAAGATGTTTTAGTTGTTTTACCTAGCGAGGAAGATGAATTGACAGGAAATGATACAAGGGCTTAAAGAACACTAGAAAATCTAAAAAAAAGTACACAATTAGGGAAGCAATTTCTCGAATGACAACAAAGAAATGAGTGAAATACTGAGGAATCAATATGA